GACAAAATGGAGCTAGCTAAAAACTAAGATCATAGGGGAAAGCATTTCACAAGCAGAAGAAACTAAGGTACAAATGAACTTGGAATGTTTTGGAAAAGGAAAAAATGATCAACAAGCTTTGAGAGCACGTAATGGGTAAGAAGGCATGAGAAGATGCCTGGATGTTATTTACTGCATAATCTGTCACTGGCCCAGTTCCATGTGATCATGTAGGTAAAGACAGGCAAGAGCCAGATCACATAGACCCAGTCAACTTGGATAAAGAGTTTGGATTTCATTCTAAATATGATAAGAAAGAACTTAAGGCTTTTAAGTAGAAGAATTATGTGATCTGTCATTTGTTATCATAGGATAACAAAGTTTCAAGCAAGAAAAACCAGTTAGGAGGATACTGGAATAATTAAAATGACAGGTGACAGTGGCTATGTTAGGCCATGGCCATGTCCACCCATGAAAAGCCCTTAAGTGCACATAAATTAAATATCTCTAGGTTTTGCAAGTGACAGTGGCCCAAAGATGGAAGAACAAGACTCCCAAAGAACTCAGTTCCCTGCCTTGCAGAAGCTGTGGTTTATAACAATGTAATAGTTTCCAGGTGCTTATGTGGCTGAATCTGTATCCTTCAGACATTCACCCTAGGTTGGCAGGTCTTAGTCACTCCTTAAGAACTTTTTCTAGCTCAGTCTTTGAGCAATTTGACAATGGCTAGCTTCACTAGCAATTTCACTAGAAATCAATATAGAAGTTGCTGAAAAAAATTAAAAATAGAACTTCCATCTGATCCAACTATACCACTTCTGAATATATACCCAAAAGAATCAAAGGCAGCTTACTATAGAGACACCTGCCTACCCACATTTACATGGCACTATTCACAATAGTCAGGTTATGGAATCAGCCTGGGTGCCCAACAGTGGGTGAATGAATGAATACAGACAATGTGACACACACACACACAAAATGGAGTATTCAGCCATAAAGATTAAAGAATGAAATTATGACCTTTGCAGGAAAATGGAAGCAACTGAAGATCATCATGTTAAGAGAAATAAGCCATCTCACAAAGAAAAGTATCACATGCTTTTCTCACATTTGAATCTAGGAGAAGCAAAAAAAAAGCACATGATGGTAAAGTAGAAGGGGGATTTAGAAATGCAGAAGGGGAAAAGGGGAAAGGAAATAAGAAACTGTAATAGGGTGAATAAGATCAAAGTACATTATATGCATGTATAGAAATGTCATAACGAAACTCCTTTGAATAATAAATAACTTAAAATTTTTTTTAAAAACGAAAACACTGTTGACTTAATATCACAGCTGGCATTTAAAATAGTTTGCTGAGTGACAAGCCCTTCCCAACAGATATAGGATGAAAACCAGCAATATAAAATGGTGACAAAGGAGTTCCCTAATAACTATTTCCTCCATCCAGTTTCACAGAACTATTTCAGCTCTACCAAGCTGTAATTTGTGATCACTCCAATTGAAACTGCTATATATACTCTGTACTTTTTTAAAGACTACTATAATTAACAATAGTAACTAATCGCTATTAAGCATCTGCTACACACAAGACCAAATTTTCACAAGAATCTCATTTAATCTTTAAACCATTTATCAGAGATAGCTACTACTCTTACTTTCAGATGAGGGAAGTTAAGTGCAAGGCCTGAGTTCAAACATCAGTACCAGCACCACCAAAAAAAAAAAAAAAAAAGCCAGATGAGCAGATGAGGAAAGTTAAGACTTAAAGATGAACAATCACGTACATACTCTGCTAAGAAAATGCGAATAACTGAGGGGGAGAGATAGTGGGGGCAATGTAAATAATGTACAATATAAGTCTAATTGGAATTGTTACTATGAATCTCCCTTATAATTGAATATTTCCTAATAAAAAATTTATAAAGAAATTGTGAACAAAATCTCTCTAAATTCAAAGGCCTATGATCTTAACAACCATGCAATATTTCATGTGACAACTTAAATTGAACAAAGAAATACCACTAATATCTGATAGACTTTCAAAATAGAATACAGGTCAAAATAATCTTATTTATCATATACATTTAAGTCTTATATGTTGAAATAACTAATGTTCTAATTGGTGATTATTCTGACCATTTCATTAAAGTGAGTCCCTTCCTCTACTATTTCATTAATTTAGTTATACTCTATATTTAAACACAATAAAACATAATTTTTCACAAAAACAAACCCGTAATTCATCTTTGTATCAAAATATCCTCTATTGTCAGCCCAAATTTCTGAAAGTTTAATATTTTGAATAAAAAACAAATTATCTTATAATTTACTAATTAGACTCATCGTATGGAATAATTTCACACATACACTCTCCTAACTTTGGCTAAAACTTGACAGAGTACATGTATTTCTTTTCAATGTTAAGTTGCAAAACTCAGAACACAATGATGAATTTAAAACACATTTAAGCAGAAGATGACTGTGTTTATATAATAAGCATAATAATCCAGTTTTCATTTCCCATGTTTCTCTTGTTTTGCCAATGTATGAAATCTTTGTGAATTTTATTGCTATTTAACAAAATTATATCCCCAAAAAGAAAATGAATTCAGTCTACCATACTCTACTAATGTAATATCAGTTTGGAAAAAGAAACTGTAAAATATTCAGGAGACTCAGAGTGAAAGTCCTAATAGGCTTAACTGTAGTAGGATCTTTACCTACATGATCACATGCAACTGGGCCAGTGACAGATTATGCAGTAAATAACATCCAGGAAATTGCTCACCTACAATATCTTCATTTTACAAATACAACATTTTATGTGACTACCTACTCTGCTACACGATGTCATTCTGAAAGAGAATATTGTAAATACAGGCAAGAAAGGGGTTACATCAAAGTCAAAAGTGAAAAAAACCCGATTCTTATACTATTAAATCTCACATAACACCATATTCACTTTCTGCAAAAATCAAATAGCTTATATAAATATTTGTTTTTAAAGCCTAGACATGGCACCACCAGCCCAGTCTGATAGCTCATCTAGTCTGATATTTGATCTTTGACAGTGACCAATGATAGAAGCCTCAAGGATCGCATAAACACTAACATAATGTATATAATTATGCACCACTATGCTATTATCGCATATGGTGGCTAGACTATATCCCAAAGAAATGAAAATTATTCTCAATTCCTCTTCCTCCTCTACAATTTCCTAAGATGATGGGAAACCTCCAATAAAGCATAAATTTAACTACAGACTTAAGTCAGTGCTTTGGTAACAGGACAACTGATTAAGAAATCATCTCTGAAAATGAAAAGTTGAACCCATAAATAGAATCTAAACATATTAAATTTTATAATTTGTAAAAGGGAGATTTCAATGAACTGAAAAGCAGCTGATTAAACCTTAAAACAAGAGACTACAATTTCTATCCATCATGCCACTCTGTGATACAGAAACAACACTGTTCTCTAGAGAATATGACAACATTAATAGTTTTAGTTCTTCAGAGAAATGGCATTCATACCTATATTATAATGGCTTCAAATTAAGGTTTGTATTTATTAAATGCTCATCTCAGTGTGCAAAACTACGTAATGCATAAATCTTGGTTTCCCCTTCAGGGAAAACTATTTCCTAAACAATTACCAAGGACCTTTGGAAAAAAAGTCTCTTGGCAGTATATATGGGTATTGATTTAACAACTCTTATAGTCAGGAAACAATTCCTGATCTAAATCCTCAAGGTGTAATATGAATTCCTTTTCTCTTTTTCTGACCTCAAGTAACTTGGGAAATAGCAGGTCAAATCATAATAATTCATATATCTGAACACCTTTATTAATGTCTCCTTCTCCAGATTACTGCGTTGCATGGGAATGAATGAACAGCAGTCCAGTATTGACTTCAATTTTATTTTTATATTCCATATCATAGCCCAAGAACCATCTCAAAAATCACTTTTCCATAATTCTTGCCAAGGATTGATCTTCCAAATATAACTCACTCTTTGTCAAAGAAAAATTATCTGAAATTCAGAACCCCAAAAATTCAGAAAAGGAAGTTTATAAGAGATAGGAGGAACAATGTATATAAAATTCCATGTAGACATTGCTTCCTTCTCTAGGATATAAGATTATTTAATGAAATATATCTCAAAACCTCTAAGACAGAGATAAAGCTACAATGTAGTATCATAAAATCTATAGCTCTATTGCTGCTGTCAATAATCCATGCTGCTTCCTCAGACCACAGAGAGCCAAAACACACATGATCAGAACTGAACTTACCTTCAAGGAATTAGCCAAAAGCAGTGAGCAATTATGATCGAGCAAGCATCAAAACAGTTACTGAACAGCATATATTCAGTGAAGGCAGGTCTTTACCACACTGCAATGCCTGAAATGGGGGTTTAATTCACATGTCTAAAAGATGTTTCTTAGAATGTGATGTACACTAAATTGTTCAGAGTGAATTTCAAAGAATCAATACCACTTGTGAAAAAGTCATTAAAAAATCATTCATACCATTAATTTTGTTCTATTAAATCTACTCACTCCAGAAATGCTGTTTCCAAATATTAAACCTATTTTCTTAGGAATAAAATCTGTCGGCTAGGCAATGTCTTAGGAAATTTTCAGTTCAGAACACTATACCAAAGTACCATATACTGATGTACTAAACAACCAACATTATTTCTCATGATCAAGGTGCTGAGATTTAGCGCCTGGTGAAAGCCCTCTTCCTGTTTGCAGATGTGCCACCTTCTTGCTGCATGCCTCATGTGGCAGAGAAAAATATCCTCTCTCTCATGTCTCTTCTAAAAAGGTAATCCCACTCAAGAGGGCTCTACTCTCATGATCTAATTAACTCCTAAAAGCACCCATCTCCAATACCATCATATTGGGGATTCAAGCTTAAGCATAAGGATTAGTGAGGAGACACAAACATTCAGTCCATAGCAGCAAATAAACTTTACTATACATAAATAAGTAGTAATAACTTACTTTTATTTCCCACCAAAGCAATCAGTGGCTGAGTTTCTGACTCCTCACTCACTTTCTTCACCACAGTATACCAATCTTCTAAATTCTCAAAGCTTTGATAATTTGTAATATCATATACCAAGAGGATTCCCTGTCACAAAAGAATTACAAAGTATTTGTAATGTACTACTTAAAAATATTAGTAACAAATACTCTTCAGATATGTCAAGCAGTGTAAAAATCCAAACACGGAATATTTTATGTACAGACTGATTTCAATTTAATTTAGTTCTTAGAAAATAAACAATACTAAATGTTTCCGTTCATGATAAATCCAGCAATTAAGATCCAATGTAAACAAATGTATATTTTTTATCAAAATTGTGTTTTCCCAATATGATAGCTGAGATATGCTTGGTAAACTGTAACAAATAAAAGAAGATTATATCACAGAAGTGAGAAAGGTGCAAGGTCTACAATCTTGCCTCTCACTTTCATGAGGTCAAATATTTAAACTTTTCAATAAATAACCATTTGCTCTACTCTTTATAAATATTTTCAAAAATGGAGATTCCACAACATCCCTTGATAGTCAATTTCAGTGTTTAACTCAATTAAATGAAATGCTGGCTTCCTCTTTTTGTCCTCTGTGCATCTGGAGAACAACTTGATACTATACTCTTTATAATAACCCTTCATATACTTGAAGATAGTTAAGTAACTTCTTTACAGACTGCTTTCCAGAGTAAACAAACTCAGTTCCTTAAATTTACCTCAAAGGGTCTATTTTCTGTCCCTTTAATCACAGTTGTTGATTCTTCCCAGGACACTCTACATAGAGTTTTTTGACATCCTCTTTAAAATGAGCAATGTAAAACTGGACATAATACTGTAATAAGAGTCTGAGCAAAGCCAAATACAACAAAGGGATTGCTTCCTGCCTCATATATCATATTCCTTTTAATTTATCCCATTATTTTGGGGAAAAGAATAAGAAATATATACACACACAAAAATGACAGTACCACATTCTTGATTTTCATCCAGTCTGTGGTCAAACACTTAACGTAAAGCTCTGCATATAGTACAAAGTCTAGACAACTATGGCATTTATGTCTACTTCTTAGGTTATAATAATAAAAAAAAACTACTTTTTTTTTTACTACTAAGTATCAAGGTCATTAATTTTCATTAATCCTCACAACAATCATGAGAGGCTGGCATTATTATTCCCATTTTACTGATGAAAAGAGGTTACAATAACCAAAGTCACACACATAAGAGATGGAGCCAGGATTTCAGGAACACACTGACTAAAAACATTTGTCTGTCAATTACAAACTATGCATTGTGCTGGATCCTAGAAACACAAGTTCCACACGTCAAGGAACCAGACACATAAACAGGAAAGTGCATGTACACCAGTAATGCGCTGGTATTATTTGTCAGCTGGCTTCATGCTCAGTGGGAGGTTAGGATGGGTATATTATTTGAACCATTTGCCAAGATTCATGGTGTAAATGCTCCCCTGTGGCCATATTTGGGAGACATCACTGAGCACAGAGCTGGACAGGAGACCATTTATATAGCATTTCTACCATACAGATATACTAATTGTAAATAGCCCAGGAGCACAGATAACAAATAAGATAGTAAAATAATTAGCAAGTAATGCATGTTGAGCAACATAATACCTTTGTTTTCACAAAATTTCTGGGTTTATATAAATTTTAATCATGAATATATTCAATAACTGGCTCATAAAATTGTTGCAAATTTAACAGCTGATTTTCTGAAGCTAGAACAAGCTGAATTTAGCATAATGAAGTTACTGGTCTTCTGGTACTGTACTCTTTCATTAAACCACACTGACCCTTAAACTGCTTAGCTTCTCCAGATCTTAGGCTTCTTGTCTCTACAATCTTTAAATTAGTCTCTAAGAGCACATTAAATTTAAATGTTCTCTAATTTTTATAACAAGCCATTTTTCTGATTCATTTTTGGTAACTAGACATTATTTCTATTCCAAGATGCTTTGGAATTAGAATTATCTGAAATAAGAAATATAATTTTACTTTCCTTAGGAACAAAGCTCCAAAACTAACCTGTGAGGTTGACTAATCCTGAATTTAGTGACCCTAACTTCATTACTAACTCCATCCTAACTTTATTGCTTTGGGTAATACTATACTGCTTACTGAAAAGAACTCTATCCTTGGATTCCAGTCCTGCACCTACATTTATGTGGATCTGAAACAATGCTTCTATTATCCCATATTTAAAATACCTAGTAAGTCTATGTGACAAGGTGAAATAATAACAATACATAGTAAATAATTTAAAATATATTATAAAAATGCACAGAATTTTTTATTTTTCTGAGTAAACAAGAATCACATTTTCATGGCAACTTTGAGATACTCATTACTTTACATTCATTAAATAGAGTCTAGACCTATGATGCCTAAACCTTAAAATTTTTGGTACCCTTCAGGTCAATATATGAAAATCTTCATCTTAACATGAAGTAACACCTGAATATGACAAAATATACATAAATAAAACATGGCCGTCATCTACTGGTGATCAATACTAGATTAGTGATTCAGAATGAAAATTAAAGACCATGAATCTAGAACAGAGATTAGTAAACTATGGCCCAGGTGTCCAGACTACATGTATTTGAAGATAAAGTGTTATTAAAACACTGTCATACTTGTGTGCCTAAGCATTATCAATAGCTTCTTTTGATGAACAGCCACAACAGAGATAATAATGGCTTGCAAGGCCTAAAGTATTTACTATCTAGCTCTTTATAGGAAATATCTGCAAATTCCTGGACTAGACCAATGTGTCCCAATTCTTTTCAGTCAATGATTCTTCCAAATCTTTCAGGTAGGATAAACTCTTATTCACTAATCTAGTTATCCAACAACCCAAATGTCCTGTCCATGTGCTCAATACAATTCAACATAAAAACTATTATTTTTTCTTTGTTCTTACCATTGTAATTATATCAGTTTCTACCTTTACCACTATGGTAAAAATTCAAGAAGGAAAGATAAGAAAACCAAAAATATTAAAATACAAAAGGAATTCTAGGACTTTTGGTTTCAACTCTAACAAGCAAAGAACTTAGAAGTCATCACACCTGTCCTTACAAAAAAGAAAAAGCCTAAACACAATGAAAATCACTGACTTTTACTGAACTCATCAGAGAACTGAGGTTGCAGGGCAAATGAACATCCTCAAATGTAGACAAAAGAGAAAAATCCAGAGATTCATAGCCAAGAGCTGCTTACATGGAGCAGAACCTAGTGGAGGAAGTAATGATATAGACATCTAAATGGTAACTGTGACAAATTGCTAAAAGCTACTGTCTAGTTTGGGAATAAGAAACTCCTAGGAGTCTTCAGGTCACCCCCACACTTTCATGGATTTACTTCTGGGAACTTACTGAACAGTCAAGAAATATCCATTCGTGGCGAAGGCAAGGAGAGGAAGAATACATCTCATAGCAGGGAAAAAAGTTCCCAACTTTAGACTCACCTATCCATTCTGTCTCATTAAATGAGAGGAGCTAAATTATACTTGTGAAGGAACAGCTCAGTGACACAGGTCCACCTAAAGACCTTTTCATAAGAATATATAATTTTTACCTTTACCCATACTTTACCACAAAACCAACAGGGCTTGAGTATAATAAGCAACTGATGATCATTCAAAGAGCTACAAGAGCAGAGTGCCAGTGGCTCATGCCTGTAATCCTAGCTACTCCGGAGGATATTGATTCGAAGCTAGACTGGGCAAATAGTTCATGAGACCCTATCTAGAAAAACCCTTCACAAAAAAGGGCTGGTGGAGTGGCTCAAGGTGTAGGCCCTGAATTCAAACTCCAGTACCACAAAAAAAAAAAAAGAGGTACAAGACATAGTTTCAACTAAGAAGGAGGTTTTTGAGAGCAATCCAAAAACGGATATGTGGGGGAGGGAGGGAGATTAACAACGCTATAGAAATTTAATGCCTCTGACACCCATACCTACAAGGCAGCACAACCAAAGCCAAAGTAACATGAAACCTCAAACTAAAATCCCATTTACTTGAACTCTTATTAAAATAAATTCATCATGTCCATCTTCCAATAGAAAATTACAAGACATTTCAAAAGGTACTCTGAAGAGAAAAAGCAAGCATCAGAACCAGATTCAGATATGGCACAGATTTTAGAATTACTAGACAGAGAATTTAAAATAACTATGATGTGTACAGGAAAGCAATGTGAGTCAACTCCCTGTATCTCAACTAGCAAAAACCCTTGGTCCTTCCTATTAGTGCTTATATTCTCTCTTCAGCAAAATTAGAGATAAGGGCAAAATAGTTTCTGCCTGGTAGCGAGGGGTAATGGTGGGTAAGTGGGGCGGGGTAAGGGGAGGAGTGGGGGGCAGGGGGGAGAAATGACCTAAACATTGTATGCACATATGAATAAAAAAATAATAAATAAAATAAAATAACTATGATGAATATGTTAAGGATCCTAATGGAAAAGATGGACAACATGCAAGAACAGGTGCATTACATAAACAGAAACTCTAAGGAATAATAAAAAGAAAATGCTAGATATCAAAAAATACCATAACAGAAATGAAGAATTCCATTGCTGGGAAAGTAGTAAAGTGGACACAGCCTAGAAAGGAATCAGTGAACTTGAAGATAGATCAATAGAAACTTGCAAAACCAAAATGCAAAAAGAAAAGAGAATGAATGGAACAGAATATCAAAGAACAGTATGATAATTCCAAGTGATACATCATATGCATAACGGAAACAGCACAAGAGAGATTCAAGTTTCAGAAATACTTGAATAATGCCAAGAAATTCTCAAAATTAATTATGAACACTAAACCACATATCCAAGAATTTCAGAGAATACCAAGTAGGATAAATACTAAAAACTCTACATGTAGGCATACCACATATTTAAGCCACACAAACAAAAAGTAAACAAGTCTTGAATGAAGCCACAGAAAGGAGGGGTAATACCTTATTAATAAAGGAATAAAGGTAAAAATTACAGAAAAGTCCTCAGGAACAAAAATAAGAATTACAGAGAATTCCTCAGCAGAAAGCGTACCATATATTCTGAGCTCTCCC